GACCCCAACACGCACGAGAACCTCACCTACATGCAGCTGCTCCAGAAGGCTACTCTTGACCCTGATACTGGCCTGTTACTTCTTTCTCTCTCCTGAGAGTGAATGAACCTTTATATGGTGTTATATCATCTCTTAAAAATATCTCACTCTATTCTCAATGTTCTAAAATTTTCTTTAATGAGATTTTAGTTACCTTTTTTATTAGTCAGGTAACATTATATCTTTCATTGTCCTTCCAGTTGTTTTTATTTTTTCTATCCTGACTTATCCTGGCGTTCTCTCCCGTGATTTCCTGTTTTTATTTCTCGGGATTTTGGCAGTGACCATCCCTGGCAATCTCTCCTGCACTTAGATCAAGGAATTCTTTTTTTGGCTCCTCAGCCTATGACATTGAGGTGTACACATTACTTTGTGTATTATGATTTTTATTAAATGCATTTCTTTCATTTATGATGTCATTGTGCCTTTTGTGTACTGATTCGTTCCTGTTCAACTGTGTTACTTACCTCGCTTATTGCTCAGCATTTAGTGTCCACCCTTGGTGGCCCTCCATCGCAGTCCTTTGCGAGGTGAATGTGCAGCATGATTTTGTCTCATGGTGCAGCTCTTTCCTGGCCGGAACTATGGCTTTTGCAGTTTGTAAAGAAATGTTTAGAATGAAGCTCTCTTCTTCGATTTCAGAATTTTGAAGGTTTATCCACAAAAGTTTATATCCTCATTGTAGCCATGAGGTTAATCAAGGAAAATAAGCATGGAAAACGTAGGACAACATAAAACCATATTGCAGAAGATCCCTGGACGAGGACAAAACTTCAGTCATTAATTGCACAGTGTGTGGTTTGGCCAGGTGAAAGGTCCATACCTGGCAGCAGGTGAGCGACGTTTCATAGGATTGCCAGGTGCTGGGTGGAAACCTGGAGCAGAGGGAGCAGGCTGCTGCAGTGGCCGGTGACCATGCTCGTCCTGAAAGGAGGCAGATGTTGTGATGCTGCAGGCCAGGAAAAAGAGAGGTGTCCCCAGAGAGGTGTCCCACCTAATGCTGAGAGACCATTAGGGCTGAAGGCGGCTGAACCGCGACGGAGAAGCAGCGGCTGAGGGCTGAGGCTGCGTTTAGAGGAGGCAGGCCCGTGCGCCCACTACTCTCTCCCCAGGAAGAGAAGTCAGCAGGTGTAGCAAGGAGACGCGGAAGGCGCGCGGGGGTTGCAGGGTGGGGCGGTTTCGGACGGAATCCTGGAGCGTGCCTCCTGGGGGCGCTAGAGGCGGTGGCGAGGAGCCGCCCGGCGAGGGCGCGAGTGCGGTGGGCTCCCGGCTGCGCTGTCCCAGCGAAAGGGAAGCCCGGAAGGAGGGGCCGGT